ATTAAATATGTTTATAGTTTGGAGTGAATTTAAATGTAAATATGGCTTTAAGAATGAAATTCTTATATTCCTAGATGAATTGTTTGAGAAGGAATTGAGTTTAGAAATTGAAAAAAAAAAATATTATTGATTTATTTCTTTTTATTAATTATTTTTCAATAAATTGATTACGATTTTCATAAGTGGTCACAGGTATTCGCATGTAACATAAAATAATTTTTATTCTAAACAAACTGTTAAGGCCTAACCAAGCGTCCTACCTGCTACTTAAATAAGTTGAGGTTTAAAAGTTTCGAGGGTTATTTTCTAATACGTTTGTTCTGCTGTTAGGAATTTCGAAATCCGAAATTTTTTCCTAGCACCAGCTGTGACATTCATGTAAAATTTCCATATTTTTTGGTCGTGTTGTGGGATGTGAATATGATAGTATTCTTTTAGTATATGAAAGCCACAAACTATTTTTAAGGTCCTTTATATAGCCATAATCCTACACAAAAGGTACCCAATAATTTGTTCTATACTTCGCACGAATTAAGATAAAGTTTTGAAATTTGATAAAGGGCTTTGGATTAGTTCTAGAATCATAGATTCCCTAAAAGTGGTAGGCCCACTTTTGGGTATAGTCTCTATATGAGAGTTACACCTACTTTCAAGTTTTAATTTGCAATTAAATTTTGAATATAGGTGAAAATATTATGAATATAGGAATGTAGGTCCACTTTACTTCTAGAATCATTGATTCAAAAAAGTGGTAGGCTCACTTTTCGGTATAGTATATATGAGAGCTCCAATTAATTTCGCCAAATTTTGATATTTTGCTGCAAATATTATGAAGATAGGTCCACGTTTTGACATGGTTTTGGCCAAATTTTCAAATTGATTTGGCTTTAACTGGGTAGTTAGATTTTTCATAGGGTATTTTCTTAAAGAGCCAAAAATATGACAGGGAACCCTATAACTCTGTTGAATGTTTGCTCTTCTGACCAAATACCATCACCACACCACATAATAAAAACTGGACCGAGATGATCTATTTTTTAAACAAATATTTCTAGAAATAATCCAAAGTTCTCTTTCAAATGTCAAAGTTTTATATTTAATCTTGCAAAGTATATCCCAAATTATTGGGCCCTTTTCATATAGATAAAGGAACTTAGAAAGGTCTGGGGTTTGGATTTACAAACAAATGTTATGAAATCCGCATGGAATTTCCTATACCCTTGATTGGCTCTTGCTTAGTGACTGTAATAAGTCTATCAGTCAGTTAGCATTTGTAGATTGTATGAAAATTTGGACCACTAATTTCTAATTTTAGATTTTCCGCAAAAAGACTTTCTCTTATATGTTAAAGCCCCCACACGTTACTGATACTTTAGGTTTTTCTAGGCTTCAACAGAATTTTCCAACCAAATTAGTGGCTATTTAGCAATTCTGATAGACTATAAACTTTCTTCGAAGAAAATTACAAATGTAAGCCCATGGTTTACTTTGCACTCTTTTATTTTTTGTCGGTATTTTCAAGGTTTCGGATACAAAATAATAATGTCGCTAAAATCATCAAAATACCGAATGTCGATATATGGGGCTATACTAAGACTTGGACCTGCGTACGAAATTTTTAAGCATAAGCTACAGTACAATACATTACAAACTTCGAATACGAAATTTGAAACAACTGGGGAGAATGATGTCGCTCAAATTTGAGCCTTCTATCTCAATTCGAGCCTTCTATCTCAGACGGATTTCGCTAGATCGTCTTAGAATTGTACCCTGATCCATAATATATATAATTTGTAGGGTCTAACATGAATATTTCAAGGAGTTACAAACGGAATAACAAAGCTAATATACCCTCCATAGAATGGTGGAGGGTATAAAATAAACTACGTTACATCAGCAACTCAAAATTGGAATAAATAGCCTTTGGCTTTTTCGGAGCTACAACAGTTTCTTTCAGCGTAGAACTGTTTTTTTACTTTTTTCATTAATTCTTCACACTTATTTTTGTTGTTGCTAGGAATACAATTAAATAATGTTTGATGTTACAGCTCTTTCCTTAATCTGTGGTTGTTGTTCCAGAGATGTGCAACAACAATCATAGTAGATAAGTAAAATCTAAATAGGAATGGATAGAAAAAATTAACTTATATACTATTATAGAAAAAAAACTTTGAAACATTTAAAAAATTCTATTTTTAAATTGTGTGTATTTCAAAATTTACAATAATATCAAAAACTGTATAAATAAAAAAAATCATCCGGACATTCTTAATCAAGAAAAATAATTGAGATTTTTTTTGGAAAACAAATCTAAAAATTCCGATTTCTTTAAACATCGAGACACCCTATTTTCCTTCCCGATCTCATAAATTATAACAAAGTATAAATTTCTTTAATACATCAAAGGAATTGCATTAAGTGCTATTGGGTGTGTGCCTGTGTGTGTATCAGAGAATGAAACTAATAGTTCTGGCTAATGTGTGCGTATTTTTTCTCGTTTTTTTTTCTAAGCATTTCCATTTAAATTTTTCCACAGGGGGAAGTTTGATTACGTTTCCGTCAGTGCAAAGAATTATATGTTTGGCATTTATCGGGGAAACAAACAATTCTAAGAATAAAAACAGTTGCGGGAAAATTTCATTTGATTTCACACAGTACTCGTAGTGTACACAATGAAGAAAGTGTTGCGCAATTTTATGCAACACACACGCACAATTATTCGAACTTTTAGAGACAATTTAACAAATTAGAAAAACGCACACTTCATAAAAATAGAATATTATTTTTCTTAAAGGTCATAGATGGTATGCAAAGGGATTTTAGATTTAGATAATAAGTCTAACAAAACCCCTCAATATAGGTCGGATAAGTCTGAATTGAATTTAAAGGGCGTTTGGAAAAATGATTTCACACATTATCCATTGAATCTCAAACTCAGGGTGAGATGAAAAATCCGCAACCAACTTCAGACTCTGCTGTCATTTCTAAGCCACTCGTCCGACAGCTGTTAAAAGTATTCCAGTGACAGCACATTATATTGGTTACAAGCGTACAAAAGCATTTTGGTGAGAATTTCCCAGAAAAAAGTTATTCGTGATAGAATTCAAGCGTGATAGTGTGATTTCTTTATATTTGGCTGGAAAACCACAGGTGGCTATCGTTAGAGCACTCCAGCATTCAAATGCGAATAAGTCCTTTGTGTCTCATACCATCGCTCGTTACTGTGATCCCGGTAGCGTAGCCCGACGTCAAGGAAGTGGACGGAAGAAAACAACAACATCAGCAGAAATGGTTCGAAAAGAAAAGAAGCGACTTGATCGAAACCCGAGTCGCAGTGGCCGAAAAATGGCTCGTGAGCTAAACCTATCGCAATATTGAAAAATGAACTCGGGGTAAAGCCATTGAAATTCCAAAGGGTGCAAGAATTTACACACAGGAAGAAATTGGTTTTCTCCGATGAGAAAACATTCGTTATCCAGCAGTTTGTAAACAAACAAAATGATCGTATTTACTTGCCAAAAAGATCAGCTGAAAATGTGCACCTTCGGATGGCCACCGGAACTCATGCGCCAGTCATAGTGATGGTGTGGGTCGCCATAACAGCCGATGGTCGCTCTTCGCTCGTATTAATCGACCGTGGCATCAGAATATATGCCGAATATTGTCGCGAAAATATTCTGAAGGGTGTATTAAGGCCTTGGGCACGCAAACATTTTGGGCGGAGACCTTAGACACCCAAGAATGGTTACAAAATGAGGTTCCTCGCTTCAATTCCACCAAAATCTCCGGATACCAATCCGTTGGACTATTGTGTCTGGAGTATTTTGGAAAGCAAGGTTGGCACTAAAAAATACCAAAGTGTCGATCACCTCAAGCAAGCGCTTCGCCGGGGATGGGCAAAAATACAGCAGAACAACATTCGGGCAGCGTGTGACGGCTATTTCCGACATTTTTCTTTCATTCAATATAATCCAAAAAAAGAAAAAAAAAAATGTAAAAATTATGGCATTTGACTTTGTTGCAGTTTTTTTTTACCTCATCCTGCATTTTTAATCTTGAAGTTTGAATAGCTTTTATATAAATTTCATTCAATTTTTTATTGTTTTTTACGGATTTTAGAAGACTTTTTAAGTGGGCCAGATTTATCTTTCATGCATTATCAATTTATTTTGTGCCAAATATGAAAAACAAGATATAAAATATAATTTTATAAAACTTAACCTGCGACAATTTAGAATTTTGATATTTAAAATCTATGAACTTGATTTTTGTAATGATGGCCAAAATTTGCCAACAGTCACTAAATCCGCTACTCAAATTGTCAATGATTAGCAAGAAAATAAAGCAATACTTTTTTATGATAATTATCCAAAAAGGGCCATTACCCTTCTAACATAAATTCTTCGAAGCAATCAGCCGCAAACTGAAAATTGCGTAATAAACAGGAAGCAAAATATTTTCCACAATTATTTGCGATGGCAGAACTAAAAACACAAAAATGTCATGTCATAAACGAAGAAGTAAAGCAGCCATCAAGTCATGGAAAGACGAATGACTTGACTTGGAGACTTAGTGGCGATTTAATATAATTACAGCATCATTTCGATAATGATTGAGCAGAAAATAAAATGGCTTGACTGGGAATGGGTTTCATGATTTGAAGAAAATTTCAAGTGCCGAAGAGAAAGAAACATTTCAAAATTCGAAAATGTTGTGATGTACGGATTGTGATGTGGGTGGGGATAAGATTAATGTAACATAAAGTATGGCCATATTTCCATATGTAGAGGTGCCGATTTTATGATAAATTTAGGGAATTTATTTGAAAATGAACTTTTCTGCCACTATTGCAAAATAGAAAAAGAGTTAAGAAAAATTTTATTAAGGCTCGAAAGGCTTTATCTTCCCTTTTCCAACACAAACACAAATTACAGAAAACAATATTGTCTACGTGTAATGGTTTAATCAATTTTATATCTCTCCTCTCTCTATCTTTCCAGTCCAACGATTACACATACCAAAACACTCTGGGAAGGCGTTCCACATTGGGTGCCTATTATCACATGAACAATCAGCCCTCGTATAGCACCGACAATCTCAACACCCAGTATGGTTACAACAGCTCCTGGGGCATATGGAGAGATGGACGAAACTTGGCACCCTCAACATTTTCCGCCAAGCCACATTTGCACTATCAGAAAACCAGATCGTTTTCGATAATATTAACCACTGCGGCATTTATAGTGCTGCTGGCGGTTATATCCATTGCAGGGTTAGCATTTTATTTCAGTTCCATTAAAGGCAACATGGAGGACCGTAAGTCGAAATAAATCTAGTTTTTTTCCAAGTTACTAATTTATTTTACATTTTCAGCTGTTTTGGGTTTTGAGGGTACCTTCCGCATTGCCAAAGGTGACATGTTTTCCACGGGTCTCAAATATAATCACACTGCTTCGTATAAACAGAAGATTGAGTTTTACAAACGTTTTGTGGATAGAGCCCTAATGGACCAGGGTTTGCAGCCCATGCGAACGGATGTTTGGGGCTTCGGAGAGGGTCCATTGATAAAAGTGAATTTCCGAGCGTTCTTTGATGTTAGGAAATTGCCTCAGTAAGTCGGCTATACAACACTTCCTATTCAAATAGAAATTACCCTAATCTCCTTGCAGGAACATACACAACGTAGAAGAATACATAAAAGAGGCCATCTTTTTGGAAACCACCACAGCCAAATCGTTGTACAAAACTTTACGTATTGACTCGGATTCCGTAGAAGTGAAACGTATTTTGGATGAACAAGTGGTTAAATCGGCTTCATTGTTTAAGGATGCGGTATGTCTAGAATATCCACAACCATTTTAAAGCAAATGTTTTAAAACCTTAATTTTTTAGCACACGGTGCCCACGAGCCAGACACAATTGGAGAAACGTCTTATGAAGAAGGGAGGTAGCCCACCCGCCCTCATCAACAAACCCTCTGGAAAGAGCCGCCCAACTCCTAAGCCCCATTCACCGGATGATGAACCTGATGTCGATGTTGAAAATGCACCGGTTATTCAAGGCTCATTCGAAGGATCCTTTGAGATAACCAAAACAGATGCCGATATATCGCAACGCAAGAAGACAACTCCCACAAGAGCCTATGGACATAGCAGCAGCTTGGCCCCCAAAACCGTGACGCCATATGCCCTCAGAGTGAAACCCAAAAAGCCAGGAATTGAGAAGCTGACAACAATTATGCCACAATCTCTGCCAGCTACCAGTAGAATGACTACCACAAGCAGTAGCAGTACCACTACCACAACAACATCGACTACCACGACGACAACAACAACCACACCAGCTCCCACCACAAGGAGCACCACAACTACAACAACCACCACAGCGAGACCAACCACAACTACATCGAAGCCAACAACCAGCACAACCCCTTCTACCACAACAACAACATCATCGACTTCAACAACAGCAAAGCCAACCACCACCACCACCAGGCTGCCAACTTCCTCTGTTCCGCTCAATCATTTCACGTACCCCTCAATTATATCTTCCTCCCATCCACCTCAAATGCTACCAAAATTAGATCAAAATCTCTTCACTTCGGTGCCAGTTTTGGATACCCAGCCCTGGAGACCAATTCACCGTGAGGTGCCCGAATTTTTGCCTGGTCCACCACCTTCCTTCCCAACGAAGACTCTACCTTCGGTATTGCAGTCAACACCTCTGCCACCCATCGCCATTAATGAGGAACCTCCCCGGAGACGAATTGATGAAATTGAATTACCTTTCCTACCCGAAGAACCCAGACCACCAAAACCAGCTCTGGATCCTTACACACCCAATTTCTTTGGACCGGCCTATAGGAAGCCAGAAATGTCAAGCGAGACTAAAAATCCCCATGACATGATGTTTTATCACAGCTTTGGCAATCCGGTCTTTATGCCAGCATCGGAAAGTATTGAACGTTTGGGAGTTGGATCCTCCGTGCAGCCACATCCATTGCCCGTTCCTTTGATCGATGATGTGGTAATACCACCATTTAAACCGCTAACACCTGGCTTGACTTCACAAAACAAATTGCCTTTTGAGATTCCAAATGCAAATGATAAATTCGAACATTTAGGCGATGGAATACTGGCCAAGAAACCGGAAAATATGACTCAAAACTCCAATGAAAGCATTGATATGCCCACAACAACCACATCAACCACCACAACCACTCCTGCAACGATAGTACCCACAAAGGCTAAAGAACAATTTGAACCAACTATCAAGCCCATACAAGATGAGATGGATAGTTCCTCTGTAACATCTGAACTGGCCGATAAGATTGGGGAATTCTTTATGGACTGGCTAGACTTGCCCAAGGATGAGGTAAAACCCAAACAAGAACAGCCCTTGGAATCTCGCATTGAGCCGGAAGAAGATTCATTTACTGTGTCAAGTAAAGAAACTGAACTGGAGTCAGCATCAAGTGAGCTTTCGAGCACCACAAACTCCATTGCCGAAGAAGAATCATCCACCACCACCTACTCGACATCAACATCACCTGGTAAACCGAACTTTTTGAACCTCAAAGAATTGATTCTGAAACGGAATCAATTGTCGAATCAAAGAAAAAGTTCAGATTCAACGACACCCGTCATAAGCTCCACTGTAACAACAGCGAAACCCACTACCTCCACCACAACAACTACTACTACAACAACATTGGCTCCCATTACAACAACCACACCAAAAGCATCCACCGTTACCACCAAACGCATCAAATATCACCCAAGCAATAGTAAACCCCCTACCATGCTGGACGATTCCAATCTATTCCCCTCCCACTCGAAATGGGAATTTGTCAACAGCTCAGCTGCCAATCATTTTGGCCACACGGGCAATATGCGCAAGGTATTCAATACCACCCTACAAGCGTGGGTGTCCGAAGATGTAGAGAAGACGGAGAAAACTGAATCGGAGACCTTGGATGACATCAAGACAAAAATCAATAATGCCAGTAATATTCAAGATATCTCCTTTATATTCGATACCCTGGCTTCGAAATTGGGAATAACAACGAGTCTGCCCACCAAGGAGCCACCATTTTCCCACAACAAATTGAAACAGTCACAGAAGAATGAATCGAGAACTAAGGCCACCACTACCACAACCATGAGGACAACACCCACAACAAGTACCACAATACCGACAACAACTACAACCACATCCAAGCGACCCATCACCACAACTCCTCCCGTTTTGAGTGTGGCCTCTGAAGAAGATGATCTGCTGGCTTTGGAGATGAGAAGAGAACCGTTTATAAAACCAATGTCTAGCTTCATTGATGATACTTCGGCCGAAGGTGTGGGAGCGGCCATCCCTGTTGTTGGCGAGGCCGAGGTCGAAGTAATCGATCCCACCAAATACGAAGAAATGTTAAAGTCCTCACATTTTGCTGACGCCACAACCACGGAGACGACACCCAAACTGGTGACATTGCTACCAGTCAGATCGAATTCTGGCATTCGCACCTACAGACCTCTGGTGGACACCGGTAGAAGTTCATCGTCATCGTCGTCGCCTAATGAGTCCACTCAGGCCACAAATGCAAATCCGACAACAACAACCAAAAAACTTCCTACATCTAGACCGAGTATTACACGTCGGAAAAATGTCAATCAAAGTCGGAGATTTCCACCTGCCGAGGCGGTAATTCGAGGTGGCCTAAAGGTCACTGTTAAGTAGAGCAATTCCAACCCTCACAAGACTATTTTTAAGCAGCTTTTTCTCATCACATATATTTTTCGAAACTCTTTCATGACAACCTTTTTCGATTTCGAAAGAAGGTTTGGCGATCAACCCCCACGTAGATTAGGCCGAGATTAGTATTGAATATTGACGAACAACGACTTGTTCTGGTGTTCTGGAGGTTGGCGACCGCTGTACAAATACCAGAATGACTTGAAGTACGAGCAATCAACACAACTAGTTGTAATTTATTTATAAGGCAATATTTAAAAACAAACACTATTTTTAAATTTTAAATTTTTTAGGTTAGGTTTCTTAATTCTATTCCATTCCAAATTTTCATATTGTTAATTGTATCTAAAAAAGACGAAGATGTGTCTAAATATTTTGTAATTATTTCTATTTCAAGATTGCACCTAAACACTTAATGTAAATTTGTATAAACAATGATTTATTATAATAAATTTATATATTTTTTAAAAATAGCTCAATACTCGTGCAACTATCTGATTGGTATCGGAAAACTTCAGCATTACTCTGCTCTAGTTTTATAAACTTCCATCGATTGGCGGGTGATATATTAAAGTTTCGACAACTTGTTTTGCTATTTTTTTCCTCTCCTTCCGACAAATTTTCTGAAATTATCTTCCCATTGCTCACTTACTTCCGTTTCCGCTTTACGATGCCAGTGCAGTTGTGTGTGCGTCCTTCTTATTTGGCACAGTTACTGCAGCTCGTACACACTTGTTTTCCTTTTTATGCCATGTCCTAACACTGGTGAGCTGGTGTGTCGGTGTGAGTGTCGAGTGTTTTGTACATGCCATTGGTAACACCTGACACTGCTGATAGTGCTAACTAGCTGTCAATGATCAAATGATGGCAGAAAGAGCATTCAAGTTTACACCGATATCCACCACTACATTGCCACTTAACTGTCAGGCTCTCTACTTGCGATACTCTGCAACCGAACGAACATTATCATGGTGGTCACAGAGTAGAGTAGTTGAGTTGGGCACCAGGACCAACCAATGGCATGACTCCTTTGGATAACTGTGAGTGGCGGTTACAAATGCTGATGGCCAAGTGTTGAGAACAACGACTCGGATTGCACTGCTGCGGTTGCCACTGCCGTTGCTAACTACTTTGTTGTACTCGGATACCATTCGACAGTTCATGCCATGTTTGGCACTTTAAATAAAGTGGGTAACAGATGGCTGTCCCAAAAATAAGAATTGATAGTACAACGTTGAATATTTTACGGAAGAAATTAAGAGAATGCGGCCAAGAAGGGAATGTAAAATCGTTATCGAATGACGTTTTGATATTGAGTGAGGATAAAGATTGAGAGTTGAATCGTACTCAAAAATCAAAATGAAATTCTTGAGAAACAGAATGTTCTCTAGTAAAATTGGCTATATTTATTTCAGAATATCCCTTAAGAAGCTATATAAATAATCTCAACAATCTAACAATACGTGAATGACTTTTTTTGAATCTAGGAACATGCAGCGGAACTTAAATAAAAATTTAAATCATTAATTTTATAGACGTTGTTGTTCAAAATACCAACCGGCTAATAATCCATAGTGGTGTTTGATGTAATTAACACCAAAATTTAAAAAAAGATTTTGTTGACTCAGTCTGTATTTAATAATAAAATAATCCATATACCACTCTGTAATTTGAGCCAGAAGTTTGTATCACAGTGATATGTCTGTCCTACACCCGTCATCATATATCGAGGAACAAAGTCGGTCTATCTATGTGTATCCGTCGGTCTGTCTGTGCCAATTTGTGATCACGCTACAAGTAGCAACGAAGGTTCGATTCTCAAAAAAACTAATTTAAGGGTCACAATGAAGCCGTTTGGCAAGTATCTCAAAGCGGAATTTTCGAAAATTTTAAGTTTGGGAGACAAGGGTCCACAATTTTAAATGAAAATCTAATAATATTTAGTGATTGAAATAAATATATTTACAAAATGTACAGGAATATAGGGCAAATGCGAATGTTTCGTAGGGTATCTTCCATTACCCCAACCGTCTACAAAAATTTTTATACGGTTTTAGACCCTAGGTCTTTCATTTGGAGTCGATCTAGCGATGTCCATCTGTCCGTCCGTTTATCTGTCCGTCTGGCTGGTGTATACGATAACTCTCGATGGGAGTATCTCATTTGATCCCAACTTGGTATATCGTAATATTATTGTCAAACTTAGATCGAGTTCAGAGATGAGCAATATCGGTCCACCCCTTCTGATACCTCCCCAAAAATGAGTACATTTTCAAAAAAAAAAAAAAAAAAATATATATATATATACTGCACAGAAAGAGAAAGGATAATGCGATTTTGCTCCAACTTTGCATATCCTAATATTTGCGTCAGTGATAGGACAGGTGCGAAAATGGACAGTATCGATCCTGTCCATCAACATTTGAAAAAAGTATAACTCTTGTAAAATGTGATGTAAGAGTCCGATTGTCTTCAAATTACACACATCACAATATTTTTTATTAATCGAAGATCTGGTGTGACGATAAAATGTATCGGTCCACTTCTTCTGGTACCTCCCTCACAAAGGGTTAAAATGATGAGTACCCATGAAACTCATAAAATCTGAAAATAACATCCGATTCCATTCAGACTTGACAGATCTCAATATTTCAATCAGCATAAAGATAGTAGAGATCGAACCATTCTCTCTGGTACCTCCCCCGCAAAATGGTTAAATTTTTGCATAACCAAAAGGATCATAAAATCCGGAATAAGCATCCAGTTCTCTTCAAATTACAAACAACGCAATATTTTTATTAGCCCAAGGTATGGTGTGAAGATGGGAATATATCGATCCACTCCTTCTGGTACCGATTCCATTCAGACTTGGGACATCTCAATATTTTCATCAACGCAAGATTTTTTATGAAGATGATAGAGATCGAACCATTTCTTCGGGTATCTCCTCCGAAGAGGGACAACATTTTGAATAACCAAAAATATCATAAAATCCGAAATAGGCATCCGGTTATCTTCAAATTACACACTTCACAATATTGTATTAAACCAAGGTCTGGTTTGAAGATGGGATATTTGAGTCCACTCCTTCTGGTACCTCCCCCACAATGGGTCAAGATTTTGAATATTCATGAAGCTCATAAAACACGAAATTAACACCCGACAGTTATAAGATCTGGTACCTCCTCCACACAGGGTTCAAGATTTTGAAAAATAAACGCAAAAAGAAAGCGAAAAATGCATCAAAACCATCCATCTCCTCAAATTTTCCACTTACAAACATTTTTGCTTACACAAGATCTGTTGTGAAGATGATATAAATCTACCAACCCCTTCTGGTACCTCACCCACAAAGGGTCACAACTTCCAATACTTATGTCTGTCATAACTTGCGAAACTATTCGGCGATTCTTTACAACTTCATATATCTAAATATTTCTTTTATGAAGAAATCTTATATAACTATGTAATTTATCGGAATTTATGATTGGATATAAATGTTCGATATCCTTCAAATTTTGTTCATACTAATATTTTTATCTGTATTAGATGAAGTACGAAAACGGAATACTTCGGTCCACTTTATCTGTTACCTCGGTCGTATTTCAACATTTCCCAAAAATTTGCACACATCTCATATAAAGTACAGGAAGTAGTTGTTATCGTCCAAATCTGTCACGTTGTGATATTTATATCAGTCTGAGGTCAGATACGAATTGGTATTGACCAACTGTTTCGGAACCTCCCCCATAAAGGGTCAACAGTTTGAACAATTATAAAACAAGGCTGGGGGCATACATTTGCGGCAAAGCCGACTGATATATGCCCTTGTTTTGAAAAATAAAAAATTTGGGTGATATCTCCGATGTTAGAGACCGAAATCGTATTTGTTGCTTAACATTAAGTAATCGAAAGTTTTACGTTACAGCAAGTACGAAAATACAACATTTAATACCATTTCTACGTAAGAATCAAACATTTAACGCTACTAAACGTAAAGCTAAATAATTTATCAGTATAATAGTAGAATGTGTGCTTTTGTCTACAACGTATCCTTGTATGATATAAATATACCCCTTACACGGCGAACAAAAGGAGCAATAATCTAATTCTTAATTAATGTGTCTACAGCAGTTATATTTCAAAATATGTGTGGTTAAATGACAAACATCAACATACTCAAACATTAGAGTTTTAGCACACACAAACACACACACACACACATGCACGTCTGTACTTTTTCGAGCAGAACAAAACCCTGTTTGCATTCGACAAAAAAAGATAACCCAAAGAATTGGCAAGTTTTGGCAAAGTTTTGCATGTGTGTTGTTGGTCGCATCCAACCTCCCGCCACCGATGCTGCTACCCGCGGTTACAATAATAACAGGAGACCTATTCAATAGTGCAGTGTTCTGTGGTTTTGTCTCTGCAGCATGTCGACGAGTGTTGGGTCTCGCCATTTGGTTGTCATACAATGCTGACTTATAGCTTTTGCTGCTATTAGCGTAACAACAGAAAACTTTTTGCGTTTTACACAACTTAATTTGAACATTTTGTCGGCGAATGTTGCAGTACGTCTTAGTCGGTGTGAGTGTGTGTCTGTGCATGTTTGTGCTAAGGAAACTTAGCACCATTACAAAAAGAACAATTGTGTCTGTTAGCATTTACACCTAATTAGCCTTCCACCATACATAAATCTTGCTCTCGAACATAATCCGAAACTCCAGCTGCTGTAGCCTGGTGGCATAACAATGCAGCGTCATTGTCATCATCGTCGTTGTGTCACAGGGATTCCTTGAAGCGAGCAACCAAGACAATGCAAATCATCATTGTTCTATTCCTGAGGCGAAATTGGTGCGATGTTAAGTATACAAGGACCCTCTTAATCTCGTATACTGTCTCTCTCCTATTCTGTATGGTATCCTAGAACACATCCACACGCAGGCACACACACAATACGGTACAAGCAACCATATGCCCTGTTACAAGTGCAAGGATTATGTGCTGCTGCTGTTGTTCTTGTTGTTATTCACTTGTTAGTGACGTCAAATTTTGCTGTTGCTTTTGTTACCGTTGGTGATACTGTCTGTCTGTCTGCCTTCTCTCTGTTGAAAATACCAAGCTTTTGTTGTTGTTGTTGTTCTTTCAGTTGCCATTGCCATGCCGTTGAGTTCTCTAGGATATCCAATATTATATTTCCTTTGGCTTAGAAGTTCAGCACCCGAAATTATCCTTAATTTACACTTGAAATTTCTTGGCGGCGTTTGTCTTTTGTCTGACAATTGTATTAGCTTACTAATTAGCTTCCAGCCATACAACGGATAATGCAGCCAATCCGTATGCCATGCGTACACAGACATGCACAATCAAGCACACATGCTGATGTAGCATCTGAGGCGATTGAACGAAACGAAACAGATGATGGCGAATTTTGGTTGTCTTGGAAATGGCAATAATTATTTTTCATTCCATC